ATATATTATATAGTATATATATATATATATAATATATATATATATATATATATATATATATATATATATATATATATATATATATATATATATATATAGAGTGAGTGTGTGTTTGTATATTTATGTTTGTGTATGTTTATGTATTTTTATATATACATCTGTGTGTGTGTGTATGGGCATGTTTGTGTGTGCAAAGTTCTCATTGAACTTTGCGTGAGCTCAATGTGCCCGTATTTTTCATATGTGAATGAGTAGTGGAACATATTCGATTTGCCTACCTCGTATCGGACGTGTTGCGTCTTTGTAGGATTGGTCTCCGATACAAAAAGCTTGAATGCCTGAGATGCTTTCCATTTTAGGTGCGCACGATGAAACCCTTTTTTCTTATGTTCTTACTAGGTAGACAAAGTTATCACCACGCCAAACAACAAGTCCATTTACTTCGCTTTCGAACAACGGGAAGGAGAGGAGGATTGGACCAAGTACATTGTTGATAAAGGGTACATCACCGTGGACGGCGCGAGTTTGACTGTGGTGAAAGTGGGCAAGGCTTGCTTCTCCGTGTGTCTGATACCCGAGACTTTGGTGAGTTCGAGGTGATATTCGCCTGTGTTTGTTCAAGGTAGTATTCTGCTGTGTTGTGTATGCATGTAAATGTGTGTGATGGCTTGCTCCAGTACCCGTTGAACCCAAGTAGCAGTAGACTCCGATGGCGCACTACGTGTATCTCAAACAAGGGCTGTAGTGTAAAGCTATTTGGCGCGATACTTCAGGTAGTACAGAGCCACCCAGAATAATAGTGTATTCTCGTCCTCAACAACAAGTCATTTGTCGGATCATAAGCATAGGGAGCCCAATAGTAGTGGTCGCGTCCCATTGTGACAAAACACGATGACCGGTCCTTAGCTGTACGGACATGGCAGTATGTGTTTGCCTGGCGGCAGTTCAAGTGCATATGTGCAGTATATAATAAGTATGCGAATATAACCTAACCACTGCATGAGGCGTGTGAAAACAGAACCCTTGGTCTACGCTAACACACCCACACCACAATCATTCGAGAGATTCACCTGCATTCGTAGAGCTGCCCTGTGGGGCTGTGGTTAAGTACTTGCTGATTTAAAACCCATTTGATAGAAACCGAGTCCGCAATTCTCCCACTACACTACACTCGAACGGATTCGACTGAACAGCTGAACCTTATACTGTAAACTGTAACTACAGTGTGCTCATGTCTGCCCTCCTTTACGCCCTTGCCATGGGGTGGATTATGCTGGACGTCCAACTGCGCTATATTCACCCTCTTTATCTAGATACACGACTAGGAATGTACATACACGACTAACTTTGTACATACAAGACTAACTTTGTACATACACGACTAACATTGTGCATAAACAACTCACTTTGTACACACACGACTAACATCGTACACACACGACTATCGTTGTACATCACAGGCGCGCACTACACTGGGCTTCCGCGAAGAGGGCGATTTCGTAAACATCGAGGTAGACAATGGGACCAAAGTGATTGTCAACACCATCGAACGACTGCTACCAAAGATGCTCGGCGACTACACCAACGGCGGGGCTCCTGTGAACGGCCAGCAGTGAGTGCCGTATGAAAGCACCTGCACGCTGGACTGAGGTGGCGAAAATGTATGGAACGGTATGGAGATCTGAGGCAAATAGAGGGGACACTGGGGAAGGGCAGCATCGCATGTCTTGTGGCTGTGTATGCCATACTGGCAATGGCTTACGCGTCTGGGATACCTAGTCTTTAGTTAGTATACCTCGTGTGGATGTAAGCGAGTGTGTGGGCCTAGTCATGTGCTGGGTCGTTTGCGTATAGAACGTATGGCACACTCTTCTGTCGGCGCCTGGATGAACTGAACCGCTCAGGTGGCATCGTACAGCGTCGGCGATGAGTACGTGATGACGTGCATGTGATGACGTACCTCCCCGGTGACGTCGTAGTGTACACGCAGATACCCGGAAGAAAATCAAAATCGTCTTCTCGTCAATAGGAATGGTAGGCCTTGAACGTTTTAGCTATCCAGCCCCTATATCAGACTATAGGTCATCCCCTATTGTAAACTATAGGTCTCTTGTCAATTGTAGCATCATATAACATAGTTGGTAGTGTGAGAGCCTTGATTTATGAAAAACGGATATTTGTAGCGCAGCCCCTATTGCTGTGGTATGCCACTTGGAGGTCTTGGTATGTATCCTCACAACGCTTGTTCAAGCTTCTCTTAGCAGTGCTTAAAAATACGCGGTGTGTTCACACTGATTGATAGTGTATACTTTTGGTTGAGGATGAGGTATTCACTGATTTGAGGATGAGATATTCGCTGATTTGAGGATAAGCACTTCGGTGTAGCTGAATAAAAATGGGGACATTTTCGCAGACACGTGTATGTTTATACATATACGCGACGTTTAAAACACACTATTTTTTATACTAGGAATAACCCGACAATGCTAATCGACGCGCCAATTGTCTAATAAGTGAAAATCTATTTCTAGTAGCCAACCATCTTTGACGCTTAACCGGTACACAGGAATTTCCCTATGAAGAGTCATTGTAGCATAGCTGCAATCAAACCCTACACTTCCCCAGGCCATCACATCATGTGCTGAGCATCACTAGAATGTTGCAACCACTCATTATTATCCGTTACAATCACTCGTCAATCGTTATTAGCCAAGAGCATATCGGGACAGCCACTCACCGCACTTTTACAGCCTCTGTATAAGCACTCCAGCGACGCGTGTGGTGCATCCAGTCTGCAAGTACCGTTCAGGATGCAACAAGGTCTATATCGCTCTGTATGCCAAGAAAACACTTCTCATCATAAAGCCACTAATTGCTTATATCCTTATCGCCAGCTACGAGGATAGTATTTGACTCGCGCACAACAATCGGGCTGCCTCAATACAGTTATACTCTCACAGTTGCAGACCTCGAAGTATACCACATATATACCTTGTTGTGTGAACATGCTCATATCTACATGCCGTATATAAGCACGTATTATATCAACCACATGTGACTAACACTGAACACATTACAACACAAAAGGGGATGGTTAGCAACTACGACCCCAAACCCTCACTTGCGGAAAACGACGACATTTGGGTGGAGTACGATTTATTGTGTTGTGTGTATGCACATTTGCCATGCGCTGACCAAAGTACCGTGGTCTAAGGGTATAGGGGATGCGTGGTCAATTGTCCCATACAACACTCAGATGATAGCCAACTCAGCATATATTAACGCAACTTGACACTAGAGTGCGTATGCATGGCTGTTCCAAACTCACGTGGTTGAGATGAGTGTGTGATGGTGTGCGTAGCCATTAATCACTACCATGCTACACCTCTTTGTCAGTGCCCACCGCAGCCCCATTCCAACTTCCAGAATAGCGTGCCTGTGTATGTATCAGTATCGCCTCCTCGCATCCAACCAAGACACAAGCCAACTTCAACCGATACAAAACGAACCCCGCACTCAAAACCAGCCGTGGCATCGCAGCGGTGTGTAGTCTCGCGCGCGTCAATATACCCCACCGACGACTGCTTACCCCGTTGCTTACCTGTCTAGTCAGCTCAACACGACTGTACAGTCAGCTCGACACAAGATCACATGGGTGCATGCACAGCCACCCCCACCACAGCAGTGCTCTCATCCGCACTTCCAGCCGTAGCAAGCGACCCAGGCCACGGCATACTAGATGCAGTACGAACAACCAATACAATGTCAATACCAATATCGACATGCAACAGTATGAAAAGCAAAACCTATGCATTCACTATCAATGCCGACGCGCTGGAATGTCGGCCGCTATAGAGGTGCATGCAGCATCAGGTCAGCGACCAATACAGAGACTCTCTCTCTCTCTCTCTAGCGCTATCAACCACAGCATCGATCCAAACCACAGCGGAATGGCTGTCTGTGGGCTGCTGCTGCCAACCACCGTCTCAGTCCTTCTCATGGTACAATAATCGTATAGTTAAAATGCCAGCTGGAATAGTGTCACCTTGGGTGTCTAGTCAGCCATCACCACAATAATCCCACCCCTCTGCTGCTATCAACCACCGCATCGCACCAAATGTAAGTATGCTAATTTACCCACTACCTGCTATTAAACGTGATGTCAAGCAAAGGCCCCATACATAACAAGCTAAAAGGTTAGTTGGTAAAGAGTCACGTTAGGCGTCTGATCAGCCACCATCACAGTAACACCCCCTCCGCTGCTAACAACCACCGCATCGATCCAGTTAATAGTGTGCGGGTGTTTGATAGTCAGAAGTAACCCGTCACTCACCAGGCCGTCGTATGGCTCTTCCGGCGCTGTGTCATTCAGGCTATCCCGCACATCCCACACGCAGATCTTCTTGTCCGCCCCAGCGGAGACGATACACAAACTATCTTCATCTACGTACCGTAGGCCTTCAGCTTTTCCTTCGTGTTCACCCTCACCATTACCTGATACTACACCACGTGCAGATGAATCTGGACTCGATTCTGCATTCGAAGATCCCGCTTTCACATCCGAAGACATCGCATTCGCATTTTCACCATCTTTATTCCTCATCACACACCCTTCCAGCATAACAAACGCACTCACGGCATGCCTATGCGCACCTCTTAGACACCGTATCTGCTGCATCACTCTCCTGGGAGGCTTTTTCTGCTTCTGTTTCTTGCCCTTGCCACCTTTCCCAGCGTTCCCGGGGCCTTGTGAGCGTACGTTGACAAGGTCAAACACCCGCACGGTGCCATCAGCCAGTCCTGCGGCCATGCGGCGGCCGTTGGAAGACACTTTGACTGGAAGAGTAATCAAATGTATCGTTAAACGTGCGTTGGGATGCATAGAATGCATTTCGCATTGTGAGGCGACTAACGTGACATCAGGTAGGTACGAGGTTGAATTGGCAGACCACATCCATCTAACAATGGTAGCCTTGAAGACCAGCCAAGGTTATGGTGAACGTATAGAGCTCGCGTTTCACTGCAAACAACGGAAAAAAAGTCTTGACACGTGTACTGCACAGTACATTTAAATTATATAGTCGACATCGGTTAACTTTCTGGGTCGGCTACTTAGCAACTCATGCGTCTTCTGATATTGTTTTGTGCATAGGCTAGAGATATTTACGAACCAGGCTGCAAACATTGACACGATTCACTGCGCCACACGCAGATAGAATGCGCACACTGGGTGTGGTCTATCAGAACACAATAAGCTGCGCCAGTCACTACATACAACTGTATCTACGCACGAGACATATTATAGCAGCCGGATTGGCCAATCGCATTTCGAGATATAACGTTTTGCTATCAGTGGGATCAAGACTCGCACAGGAAACCATCAGCTGAGACTTTTGTGCGTTGCCGTGCGAGAAAGAATCAGATCACACCACTCCTGCGTAGGCGTACCCACCCATATGCACACCGAACCAGACCTATATTAACAAATAACAGCACAGACGCTATCCCAATACACACACTGACGGAATAGATTTATCAACATGCGTTATGGGCACGTGTGTAAGTACCATCGCCTTGGATAAATTTGTAAGTGTGTTTGAAGCTTGGCTTACGAAGCGCAGAATTGTATGTGCTTCTGATACAAGACTACAAACATAAAGCCGTACACAGACCATGCATAATGCATATACAAACATACATATCATGGCCAAATCCACTAGTGATAATGAAACATACTGCATACAACAACATAGATACCATAGACACAACCACAAGTGATATAGATCAAACTGAATATACAAGCATACATATCATAGACACAACCACAACTGATATAATTGATACTGACGAAGAACTGACTAAGTCACCACAGGCAACAGCAACTACTCAAACAACTCTAAAATCACCCTATGTGTGGAGCATTACATACACGCACAAGTACATACACACACTTCTGACTACAGTTTCACGCCCAGATACACACACTATGAATGTTTTCAAGTCTGGGTACGTACACACTCACCACAGTTAACCATCGGAGGGTTGAACATAGGCGTTGCACTAGCGCCCTCCTGCGGTACATCCATGAAATCCACCACGTGCTTGGGCACACATCGGTTGCAATCCCACAGCACCAGCTTCCCATCCAACCCTCCGCTCACACACTCGCCGGGTCTGTCTCTGATGAAGCTCACACTCGAGCATATGTTGGTGTGGGTGCGTGTTAGCAGAGATGCTTGCTTTGTGGTATGCGTGTCCAGGATACGGACCTCGCCCGAATCATCGGCTGCGGCGATGTACTGGTTCTTCTGATCGACCGTGATCTGTGGGGGTGTTTGTGGGTACGGGTGTGAGTGCTCTGGATGTGGTATTGAGTGATGAAACGATGTAATGGAGTATGCCAGTTAAATATAAATTCATACTCCCCAGAGCAGAATACAACGCTAGCCCGTGAGTTTAGGGTTTTTCTCGCGGCGCGCTCGTGGATGTAGTAGGAACCAGTTAGGGGTGTCAACTTGCATACTATGTCCAATTGATGTCTTAAACTAGAAGCATCCCATGCACAACAGGTATGCGAGATGCTCACACTCAAGATCGGTTACACCAAAAATTGTCTCGAAATAGCACTCTCAGCTACGTCAGACAGATTGGGTTTGTAGTCCACTTTCTAGATTTCTGAAACCAGATACCACAAATGGATTCATGAAAGGTCTTACGTCTCGGTCTGATAGTCATATAACTCATACCAGCCGTCAAGGCTGGCTGTAGTGTACAATTATGCCTCACTGGAACCTGGTCCAATCATGCAGGAGTGGGGCATGGTCTGTAGAATATACGAAGCGCGTCTTCTGGTGCGGAACTGTGACACAAAACAATGCCTGGTTCTATTGTGGCACACATTCCCGCATACCCTCATCAACACTCCGGTCACATACAAGAAACGACATCTACCAAAATGCAAATAGCGACAAGGTTGTGTAGTGTGCAAACCGAGATATATAGATATACAACAACGTACATACACACATGTGTACGTTCGCAGTATTGACGCAACATAACCGATGTGGTCAAAAGGCCGCACCTGTCCTATTTCATCCTTGTTAGATGTGAACTTCCGCTCCGGTTGTGCGCCTGAGGGGGTTGCTAGCAGAGTCTCAGTTGCGTATGCACAGATGACATCGTTGTACGCCACATATAGCGTGTCTCCGATAGCACTCCAGCAAAGTGCACTGCACAGCTCACCGTCTCTAAAAATAGAATGCCACAGATATATCCCAGATGAGTTACATGTCGCTGAGCGTACTAACATTTTCTCGAACCCTGAAGTAGCACATGCCTGATATATAGTTGTGTAGTGCAAGCTCGTTCAACAGAAGTGGATATCCAAGTAAAATCAGCTGAAGCGTCTCTGCACAAACATCATGCGCACTCTAAACTCTTAGCTGCCACATAGTAACCTGTACTTAGGTGTTTGTGGTATTCCACCACACGATCTAATGTAGATCAAGTAGAGCAAAACCTTATCAGTCTTTGGTATGCATGCACGAATAAAAACACTAGGTATATATTGAATGTCATAGATATCTGAAAGTACTTCCGCGACGAGTTTGTGCGTATGCGTGACCTCCAACCAGAGCATACGTGTGACCTTCAGGATGCATATGGTTGTTCACGCACACACATGTGACAATTCTAACCCACAGTTCAAGAGAAACAGATAGCACTCGTGCATGAGCATCTGATGAGTATACACGTGGACACCCACCACATACATCACTTATCGATACTAACTATGGCTACATGCTTATCAGTAGCTCATGTCCTGGGACTCTGCACTTGCAAATAGTCAGTCAACATCCTATACCTCAGGTCAGTCAACAGGTCCTAAGCGTGCACCATCGTGAAAACGCGAACAGCATGACACGGCGCGTAAAAGGATGATTTAAATGTAAAGCACTGCAAGATGCACAAGCAGTAGCGCAATTGGTATACAATGATATAACGTACCCTGATATCTCACATTTCTTTGTTACGGTGGCACAATCCCAAACAATCACCAGACCATCATCAGACGCCGTCGCAAGCAGAACTGGGCCCAAAGAGAACGTGATCATCAGACATGGTATTTTAGATTTCCATGGCAACGTGAGTACATCCAGGAAACCTCCCGAATATTTTTGTAGTTGACTGTCTACGAGCACCTAAGATATGTCTACTATACGCACTGGCGAATTAATTTGATAGTGTACCTGCACATCCATGGTTGTAGCCATTCGTGCAGAGCACTCTTGTGTTATATCACGCTCCCCACTAGAATTCGCAGTACGAGTGATATCAGTTGATATCAGTTTTAGATACTGGATCCGATCACAGACAATATAAGTTAGCTACGGATAAAACCTACATTCAATGTGTTTTACAAAAGATACTTATATTGCACTAGCCCGAGAAGCAATTCATGCACATACACATTTAATGTATTGAAGGAACGGCTACTTGCCACATGTAAATTGCTACACGACAATTATAAGAAATGTGCTGGGCAGGCACGTGTGCACACTGTATCACCCGATTCGACCGCACGCTTGTATAGTGCTAGCTGTAGTATAAGTGAAAATATAGTTCTGAGAAAATTGATCACTACACCACACTCGTATATATCAAGAGAATATGGCAAAAAGTGGATACTTTCAAAGTACAATACGATACTTTATGATGCAAACAACTTGTAGTTCTACGAGACACGCCTAGAGAGATGTGACTATTGTGTCATATGTGAACAGCATAAAGTTTCTATAGCACGGTCACATGTGTATAGCTAAAATTATGACAAACAGTGAAGACACTACAAAAGATGAGACGTCTTGTGAATACTGTAAACATACTCGTGACCATTGCGATATCGCGCTTACCATCAATACCGTCGCTAGTAGTTAGATCCGTTTTGTGTAGAGCAAGATATGTGACTGCTTTAATGTGTCCTACGAAGGATATTGTGCTTTCGGTAAGTGTACACACCATCTTGCAAGCGCGAAGCACACGTGAACTGTAATAAGCATGTTCGGCCGCAATATATAAAAGCTTATCTCTGAATTCTCAGGCCTCGGAGGCTATGTGCACACACCTGCATCAAAACGCTGAAACCCTAGACTTCAATATGTTTTTTTTGTTTTTTTTTGGTTAAAACATTCGACAAGCAAACCTGCCCGAAGAATAAATGAAAATCGAGCTATAGGCCTATTGTTTTACATATTAGTTTTATTTTTTAAAGAAGTCTATGCTATTAATTTTAAAAATATCACACCCAGGTCCCAGGGTGCTGAATATATTTGGGGCTCAGAATTATATATTCCCAGCTTGAAACTTGTCGTCCACATAAATATATTATAGCTATACGTGTTTGTGGCAAACAGACCCCTGCCACATACATTCGGCGCTGACCATTCAACATATTCAACATGCGAATGAGTACACTGAATACGCATGTCTTACTACTGGAACACGGTACAACTGTATAGAATTGGCGAGCAACGCACGTATCCTCGGGCGTGTATGTACAATAGCAAATTTGGATCATTCGTTTATCTGTATATATATATATATATATATACATATATATATATATATAATGTGTGTGTGTGTGTGTGT